ACTAGTATAAACAAGAAAAAATTTAATGTTACAGTATTATCAATCACTATGTAAAAACATACTTGTTCTGTTACAATTTCCTTGTTTAACAAATATATGCAGATTCATTTGCACTTCATTTCATTAACAAATCTTTCTCACAAAATCCAACAGTATCGAATTCCGTGTTAATAACTTTGATTTTGTGGACATATTAATGCATAGATTTAGAGTTCCCTCAAATCTAGGAAAATAACCCCCACTCTTGAAAATTTATGAATTTACAGTATACCTACTCTTAAACTGTCAAGTTCTGACTTCTAATGTTATTAAAATATTTTGTCCTAAATGTTTATCTTAACACAAGGAAGGATTTTCCATAGAATATCTACTTCCACAAAAATGTAAACAAACACAAGAGATTAAAACTTAATTTCCCACTAAGCCTATATCACAAATTATTGATTGTTTAAGACACATGTAAAGTAGCTATCCTGGGTAGGAGAGTTGTGCAAAGCTATATCCTAAATGTTAAATAAACATTTAACAAAATTTGGAAATTCAAATTTTTCATTTGGTCAGCAAAACATGTCAAAATAAAAACAATTAAGAAAAGGTAAGAACTTCAAATGACAATAGAGTGTTCATATTCCAGACTACTTGGAGTGATTCTTTACGCAACGTTATTACATTGTTTCATTAATCTGTGATAACCATTGTATCTATATGCCTAGGATAACTCTTCATCTCAGAGGAATTTCTCTGTTCAGGAACCCATTTTGAAATTTCAAGTACCAACTTGAATTTCTTAAACATGGATAAGAAGAGAATCTTATCACCATTTTATTGATCTACTGTTTGTTATGGTAAACAACACTGGGGGAGATATAATTGACTTGTTAATTAAATTAAAATATAAGACAACTAACTTCCTCTTATTTTGTGAGTTACAATTTGTGTACATGTATACATACAGCAACTGATAAGAGTTTTAACTTCCTGGATAATGAATGAAAGGTCATCCCGTTACCCTAGAAAATTAACTACCACTGAAGAAATCGGGAGTGGACGGAAAATGCTCCATGGTTTAAAAGCCAGTTACATTTAAGCATATCTTTCAGAGTAATATCTATCAAGGTCTTCAATGCTGGTCAAATGAAAGCATTCACATTGTAGGAGGGCCCTAGATAAAAGTTGTACCACCATGTTCCAGCTAAACCAGTCAATGAATCGGTGTACAAGGCCTGGAGCTACCACATCCTGTCAGTGTCCCAGACAGACCACATACAGGTGTCCAGTAAACTCAAGCCGATTCTTTACCTACTACAGCACAAGTCTATACATCATACCTGTATATACTGACCACATACAGGTGTCCACTAAACTCAGGCCGATTCTTTACCTACTACAGCACAATTCCATACATCATACCTGTATATACTGACCACATACAGGTGTCCACTAAACTCAGTCCGATTCTTCACCTACTACAACACAATTCTATATATACATCATACCTGTATATACTGACCACATACAGGTGTCCAGTAAACTCAGGCCGATTCTTTACCTACTACAGCACAAGTCTATATGTACATCATATCTGTATATACTGACCACATATAGGTGTCCAGTAAACTCAGCCCGATTCTTTGTCTGATACAGCACAAGTCTTTAATTCTACAATTGTCTTATTTGACAGTAAATAAATCTCAAGATTTATGAATCAAGTTATTGAATAAAAGAAAATCTGATGTCCTTCTGTGTCACTGACTTTACTGAACATATCAACTGAATCTACATCACAGTTAAAAGGCAGTCAGAAAAATGTACATACACACCTATTTGAGTGCAATGAACTTATAGTGCAATTATATTTTTAGCATATTGGCTCAAATTTGAGTTTCCGCATATGGAAACTGCAATTAGCATAATCATATTTTAGCGCAAGAAGTGTTAAAACAAGATTATCACTAAAATATATAGTATTTCAATGTTGAACATAGCTTGCTTTCATTCCTATTTCATATCACATAGCCCTACAAAGTGTCAAATACCAGACGCTCAGAATGTGTGATACCATCATGAAATCATCAAATTGGCAAAGAAAATGGACCACGAAACACAAATTTATAGTCAACATCATTTTGTTTCATCAAATACTTTCTTTGGCAGAAAATATGAGAATAAATGTTTGCCATCAACAAAACACAACATGCAGATGAACTGGACCTGAATTATGACCTACACATTTGGACCACTCCGACCTCTGAAATTTGACCACTGTTATCCCTTAAACTTGACCACTATAGCACAGAGATTGACCACTTCTACCTATACAAGATTCAATCACCAAGACCTACCAAACATGACCTTTATGACCTACAAACTTGCCCACTATGATCTTATCCACTTTCACTATTATCTGAAACCTTTCTGTTTGCACCGTTACCCCATAAAAGCCGCCAACAAGATGTTTGAATTTTAAATGTAACCATTTGAGCAAGCACTCATTCATTGTGCTAAATTACAAACAGATCAGGCCTTGATAAATTATTTACTGCTTACATCTTGGTTCCATAGAGAAAAGTTATCTCCCCTTACAAGTTTCTAATGATGGAATGACTCGTCTACAAAGGTTTAAATTACTGTTAACTTAAAATCATGAAGGATATTACTTCAGTACAAAGGCAACACAGCTATCCTATTGTTGTTGTGGATCTCATTTGGAGTTCATCTATATGTCCACTACAGATTCCAGTTAAGTACTTGTGGTTTTCAGACAAAGAGTCCCAACACTGGCTTTTGTGACCACAACAGGCAACAAACATTACATACTCCTCCTAAAAGTATGTAAACCGATCATTTCAGAACCAACCATTTTTACCGAAAGTTCAGATTAGGCAACACCCTATTTCTGGAATTTGACACCTGGGCTGGCCTTGCTCCAAATGCTTGGCTTGTAAAACAATGTTTTTAAAACTAATAATTGGACAAGTTCAAAATCAAAAAGTCTAGTCACTTGAATTATCATGTCTACCATATATTGCAGAAATTCTCAGATCACTGTATATTTCAATCTAATTTGAACATTAAAATTTTAATTACGAACAGATCCTAGCCAATGTACCTAAAAATCAAAATCCTGCTACATACAAGTAGTCATGAAATCATTCAAGTCCACCAGACAACCACTACAATTGCTTTCCTAGTACAAAACCCTCAACATGTATAGACAATTCTGCCATTAAAAATACGCCTGTACACACTTCCAATATTCTGTAGAATCTAAAATGCCAATTTTCAGTAGCCTTCAAATACATTGGTTCATTTCAGTTTTAATGCTTTTAAAAGGACAAAATTAATAGCATTCAGACTAGGAATGGTGGTTTTATGGACTTAAAGCACAGGTCACAGGTACTTGGTCCTCAACATTTGTAGTAACAAACATTTTTTTATTTGATAAAAATATGTTTACTTCACCCTCTAAATTCATGGGTAAATTTCTTTAATGAACCTACAAGCCATGAAAAAACTTTGTACAAAGGACATGTGATTTTAGCAAAGTAAAAAAGAATTTAGGTAATGTCTCTTTTAGCTAATTATAAATCTCTCTACAAAACCACTGTATACTGAACCTGTTATAACTAGGTATAACCTCTGTATACTGACCTCTTTCTTAACCAGTTGAAAGTTCTGTATACTGGACCTTGTTATAAGGAGGTAAAACCTGTGTATACAGGACCTCTGTTATAACCAGGTTAAACCTCTATATACTGGACCTCTATTATAACCAGGTAAAACTTCTATATACAGGACCTCTGTTATAACCAGGTAAAACTTCTATATACAGGACCTCTGTTATAACCAGGTTAAACCTCTGTATACAGGACCTCTGTTATAACCAGGTAAAACCTCTGAATACAGGACCTCCGTTATAACCAGGTAAAACTTCTATATACAGGACCTCCGTTATAACCAGGTAAAACCTCTGTATACAGGACCTCCGTTATAACCAGGTAAAACCTCTGTATACAGGACCTCCGTTATAACCAGGTAAAACCTCTGTATACAGGACCTCTGTTATAACCAGGTTAAACCTCTCTATACTTGGCAACTGTTACAATCAGTTAACAACTATATATACTTAACCCTGATATAACCAGGTAAAGAATAATGTAAATCTGTTAATCAGAACTCCTGTATAGACTGTTAAAAGCATGTATTTCAGACCTCTCCTACAGACCAATGAGCCATGGTAAAACTGACCTCTCTTATAGACCAATAAACTTCTGAATGCCACCTTTTTTGTTCTGCCAGGTAAAACCTCATTACAGCAGACCCCTATAGGAAGATAAACCTTTATATAGCAGACCTAACCCTAGGTTAACCTCTGTATAGCAGACCATCCCTATTACCTAGTAAACCTCTGTATAACAGACCATCCCTATAGCCTTGTAAACCTCTGTATAGCAGACCTTTCCTAGGTTTTACCTCTGTTTAGCAGACCTTCCCCTTGGTTAACCTCTATATAGCAGACCTTCCCTTTCGTTAACCTCTGTATAGCATACCTTTCCTAGGTTAACCTCTGTAAAGCAGACCGTCCCTTTAGCCAAGTTAACCTCTGTATAGCAGACCTTCCCCTTGGTTAACCTCTGTATAGCAAGCCATTGCTATAGCCTAGTAAACCTCTGTATAGCAGACCAACCCTATAGCCTAGTAAACCTCTGTATAGCAGACCATCCCTTAAGCAAGGTTAACCTCTGTATAGCAGACCTTTCATAGGTTAACCTCTGTATAGCAGACTCCTGTTGCACAACCTACATACATTATTCCTGTAGACCAATGGATGGTAGGACTAGCACAAGAATCTGTTCACTGTTGGGACCTGTACACACAGTTTACAGGTGTCCGACAATGTGGATAGACACAGGTGTGTAGTACCTGTGTCCTAAGACACAGGTGTATTAGACACAGATGTATGTATATGTTAAGTGTGGTGTATATGTAGTCATACTTACATGTGCTATACCGTTTACCCCATACCCTGAATTTACAAAACCCTGAAAAACACAAAGCACAAAATTAGAATAAAATATTGTATAACTAACGGGCTGCATGTTGTAATAACTAAATATAAAACATCATTCAATTTTAACAAAGAATGTTTTCAGTCAACAGTACACTGCCAATCACTGAATCTTTAACATCAACACATTTTGTATAATATACTTGGCCACGTATGTTAAACTTCTGAATAAGGAAACAGACTGGTAAACCTAAAACAATTTCAGTTTCCAGCAAAGTTTCACAATTAATTGAACTAATCACAATACTGACAGGACACAATTTTTTTACTAACATATACCAAAACATTTCCTGATTCAAAATACTGTATATATGAAAGAATTCAATTCATGGCTTTTCATGTTTCAATTTGTTTGTTGATTTTTTGTTCTTTGTCCAGTCCATCTTTTTAACAATCACACATTTATATCTGAAAGATTTCTGAGAGTGAATCATGGCTGAGATGAAACATAAATGACTTGATTATGAAAACTACACGGAAATCCAGTAAAAAGCCACATTATTGGTAAAATCTGAGTCAGCCATGTTCAATTCCCTCCCCCTCCTCCCTTCTGGGATCAGATCAGTGTACACTAGCCCACAGGTATTATAAGCTTTACAACCATGTTTTCCTCCTCCATTTCAGTACATGGCCAATTATACAGAGGTCTTTGGTGACATCACCATAGAAGGTTGTTATACAGAGGTAATGTTTTACAGTTGTATAGTCATACCATAGGTCAAGGTCAAAATACAGAGGTTAAGTATTATTGAGTGATGGTACAGACAAATAAATACATTGGTAGTAGAAATAAAAATTCAATGTCATTATACTGAGAATAACTGTCAAAATACAGAGGTGAAGTAATATATAGAGGTAAAATTATACAGGTAACAAATCATTTCTACAGAGGTTAAAGGTCAATATATACAGGCTAAGTATTATTGATTGAAAGTTATTATACATATAGGTAATAGAAAAACAAACTTAATGTCATTATAACAGAGATTAAATTTCATCTTATAATACTTTTCATATGAATGAACCTTTCATCATCAAGTAAGTTTATAACAGAGGACAGGAAAGACAGGTTTCAGAGTAATTGGATTAAAACTTTATCCAATCAGGTTTACAACAGGGATGAGATTAAAAGGGTTTCTGATCTGGTTTATCACAGAGGTCAGATTGAAAGGGTTTCTGATCTGGTTTATCGCAGAGGTCAGATTGAAAGGTTTACTGATCTAGTTTACAACAGGGGTCAGATTGAAAGGGTTGCTGATCTGGTTTACAACAGATGTCAGATTGAAAGGGTTGCTGGTCTAGTTTACAACAGGGGTCATATTGAAAGGGTTGCTGGTCTAGTTTACAACAGATGTCAGATTGAAAGGGTTGCTGGTCTAGTTTACAACAGATGTCAGATTGAAAGGGTTGCTGGTCTGGTTTACAACAGATGTCAGATTGAAAGGGTTGCTGGTCTAGTTTACAACAGATGTCAGATTGAAAGGGTTGCTGGTCTCGTTTACAACAGATGTCAGATTGAAAGGGTTGCTGAACTAGTTTACAACAGGGGTCAGATTGAAAGGGTTGCTGGTCTAGTTTACAACAGGGGTCAGATTGAAAGGGTTGCTGGTCTAGTTTACAACAGATGTCAGATTAAAAGGGTTGCTGGTCTAGTTTACAGCAGGGGTCAGATTGAAAGGGTTGCTGATCTGGTTTACAACAGATGTCAGATTGAAAGGGTTGCTGGTCTAGTTTATCGCAGAGGTCACATTGAAAGGGTTGCTGAACTAGTTTACAACAGGGGTCAGATTGAAAGGGTTGCTGGTCTAGTTTACAACAGATGTCAGATTAAAAGGGTTGCTGGTCTAGTTTACAACAGGGGTCAGATTGAAAGGGTTGCTGATCTGGTTTACAACAGATGTCAGATTGAAAGGGTTGCTGGTCTAGTTTATCGCAGAGGTCACATTGAAAGGGTTGCTGAACTAGTTTACAACAGGGATCAGATTGAAAGGGTTGCTGGTCTAGTTTACAACAGGGGTCAGATTGAAAGGGTTGCTGGTCTAGTTTACAACAGATGTCAGATTAAAAGGGTTGCTGGTCTAGTTTACAACAGGGGTCAGATTGAAAGGGTTGCTGATCTGGTTTACAACAGATGTCAGATTGAAAGGGTTGCTGGTCTAGTTTATCGCAGAGGTCACATTGAAAGGGTTGCTGGTCTGGTTTACAACAGATGTCAGATTGAATGGGTTGCTGGTCTGGTTTACAACAGATGTCAGATTGAAAGGGTTGCTGGTCTGGATTACAACAGATGTCAGATTGAAAGGGTTGCTGGTCTGGTTTACAACAGATGTCAGATTGAAAGGGTTGCTGGTCTGGTTTACAACAGATGTCAGATTGAAAGGGTTGCTGGTCTAGTTTACAACAGATGTCAGATTGAAAGGGTTGCTGGTCTAGTTTACAACAGATGTCAGATTGAAAGGGTTGCTGATCTGGTTTACAACAGATGTCAGATTGAAAGGGTTGCTGGTCTAGTTTACAACAGGGGTCAGATTGAAAGGGTTGCTGAACTAGTTTACAACAGATGTCAGATTGAAAGGGTTGCTGGTCTAGTTTACAACAAATGTCAGATTGAAAGGGTTTTTGATTCAGAATAACAACTATGAATATATCAAACATATTTTTGGCTAGTTTACAACAATGGTTGGAACAAAATTTCTGGTCAGGTAAGAAGGGTTTCTGTTAACATTTACAATGGTGGCCATATAGTGGTTGGATTAAACAAAGTTTGTCCATGCAGGTTGCCTGGAAAGGTGACAAGAATTCAGAGGTGACCATCTATAAATAGTCCACAGGCAGCAGAGCAGAAAATAGAATTGATTTTGTCTGATATTCTCTGCATATATCTTAAATATTTCATCTCCAAGCATTGCCTGTATGGGAGAAGGTTATAAAACACTGCTTAGTCCCAGCTACTGTAACACAACCATTAAACATTCCCCAACATTTGAAGATGGTTTGGGAAACCCTTCTGTAAAAAACATTTTTCCTTTTTAATATTTGATATAAAACTGTTACATTCTTTCCCCCGCATAAAATATTAACCATATATCATCAGTTTTACTGCGGTTTTCTCAGTAGTGTTGAATGTTTTGATTTTTGTTCTTTCCCTGTCTGATTTGTAAGTTTATTTGTGACAAAAAAAAAAAAAAAAGAATGAAGGAGAGTGAGAGGGATAGATATAAAGACAATGTAAAAGAAATGAGAAAATGAAAAATCTCTACACTCTCCAGTCCATTTACTATAAAAAGCTTCAACATACCACAGGACTAGAACTTCAGAAAAATATACATGTCTTAAGGATGGATTTTTATACATGATCATGTGACCACCATCGCCCTGCAGATAATTGTATGCATTTTCTCTAGACTACCCAAGTTAAATGACTATAGACCGTTTCTTAAAAGTCTTGTTAGAGTGAAAGAGTGAAAATCTGCTGGATTAAGCAGCAGTATGAGGAACTTGTATCTGTTCCATCTTAGTAGGATACTGACCTTGCAGTGAAATTTAAATAAGAGTAGTGATATCCCTATCACAAAAGAATGTTTTTGTTTACACAGTAGGTAAATTCTAATAATATGGAAAGTTGTTGGTGATTTTCTCATACAGCACTCCCAACAGAGAAACCAGGTATACACACATATATATATATATATATATATATGTGCTGACTAGGTCTAGGCATAACACACACTGTGGCCCTGATTACTGTAAACCTTCTGACAAAGAAGACCAAGCCTGTAGCTCTGCTGTTACACACACACTCACACACACACACTTAACTCACACACACACAACATAGAGACATGGCTGCCCAGCATGGAGCAAGCAGTCCAATGTTTATATTAAAGACAATATGATACCAAAGACAAGATACCAGAGTACCAGTCTCTGACATCAACAAACTTGAACAAGCTAATGTCATCTATCTGTCCTTTCATCTGTAAGATGTTAAAATAATGACAACTCCAACCCTCTCACAAATTTTCCTGTCTCCAGTCATCCATTTTTTTGACAAATTTCCCCACCAAACAACAACTTTCAAGAAAGTTGAAATGAAAAGTGGAGACGTGGATTATTGAAATATTTTGGAAATTGGAGATAGACAGAATTTATTATTCAAACTTGTTTAATTTCTGACCTATTTCACCATTATGAAAAATGTTAAATCTTTGAAGTTTAGCTTTTCAATACCATGTGACATTTCCAATTATTAGCAATCACACTGACTCCTGGAATCACCTTTTTTCATGCTACAGCATACATACACAACAGTACTGACTTGTGCCATCTTTGGTTAAGTTACAGTTTAGTACATTTGGTGCACAAATGAAACTGATGCTGATCAGATCTTAACCAACTTACTACTGGAAAAGTTGGCCATGATCTTATTTTGACACATACAATATGTTGTAATTTGAATCCCCTCCCCCTCCAAAATAAACATCCTACAGAGACCTTTATTAGTCTTCTTTGGACTCGAGCATTCATGGTAGTAGTCCCTAGAGTTCCTTAGGGCAGTGCCCTAATTCTTTTGATCACCTCTCCCTGAGGGACCTCGACTGAAGTTCCCCCATGAGGAGCCCCTCTATGTAATAATTGCATTAATAACTCCAGCAGTAGCTTCTGTAAGCTGACTATGACTAACCCAAAAATTACAACTTTAGTAGCCTGAATATACCACAACAGCATGGCGACATTGGCCTGCTGAAAACAAATCTCCATATCTTTGTCGAATAAAAAGAAAACACTGAAAAATAAAGCATCAAAACACTGTCAACACCATGAAAATGGGAAAACATTGAACCCAGTGACACTTGAAAATTCGGAGACTCAAAAAGAAAACAAGAAAATTTTTCCAGATTTAATATTTCATTTACATAATTTATATCTTACACATTAAAACCTGTATGTCACCTCATGAAGAAAATCTGCTTG